GAATGTGCGGCTCAATGATGGGCTTGGACCACGCCCTTTTTTTCCGACCTAGATAACTCATAAAATGAGAACAGAGTACTAGGTTAGGGATAGCTCATAGCTGATACTCGGTTAGACTACTAGCGGCAGGGGCGGATACGGGTCTCTGCGGGTGTCCCGGGACATCCCTAAAATTTGGTGAAACGATTATCCAACCTCCGGTAGTAGTTTCGTATGGGTATACAAAATATAATTGGTAATCCGGGACACCCTAACATTTGAAAAAATGATTATCCTATCCTCGATAATAGTTTGCTTATGATTAACAAAATATAAGTGGTAGTCCGTGTTATTCCAACCTAGGACACCACTATTATCAAACATATTCTAATTATGTTCCTACTCATTTGTTATTCTATTTTAAACATCATGCAACAGTAAAACGCTATTTCTTTATCCCCAACTATTTTCAATACTTAATAATTAAACTACGTACACGCTACCCTTAATTTTGAATTGATTTTATGGTTACACGGCAAGTGTTGAAAGAGTCTTTTCTACTTTGATCTACATTAAGAACAAGGTTAGAAATCGAATATGTGATAAGTTCGTGAAGTATTGTCTAGAAAGATATATAGATTTTTTTTGAACAGTGCAGACACAGAGTTTATTTATATTTTTTCAAAATATGAATTTTAATTTATTATTTAATAAAAAAATTAAAATTATACAAGTATGATATTTTTAATATACGAATTATTTAATTTATTATATAATTAAATTTGATTTTTGAAGAGGACACCCCTGTGAAAATTTTCCGAATCCGCCACTGACTAGCGGTTACACGATAAACTAATCAATGATCGATGGTTAATGGATATATTGTTAACCAATTATAAGTTAGCGATTCGATTAATTGTAGGCTGAAATCAATCTCGATGCAACTGATAACTGAATAATTGATTCACGGCTAACCAACAATGAACCAAATAGAAATATCTATGTTTCTCTACCCAAAAACGGTCATGTACCTCTCAAAAAGCTCTTGAACTTCGAACAAACAATCTCCTCCCCGCCTCAATTCTCTTCTTATTTCTCAATTCCCTCCTAGCGTGAACCCGAAAACTGAAAGAGATAGAGATTCGTCGATTTTATGACATAATTGTAGGTGACTCGCCAATACCGACACACTAAGAAACAACTAAGTGTAATCATAACTCAGGAATGCATTATTGTGGGTTCATTTTTAATTGTTAACCCATGTCCTAGATATACTGATGATTCGGGATAGATTACACACGTTTATACCCTTTGACTTTTGTCGTTTGACTTGGTTATCATCGTTCCTCGACCTATTTTATGCTAGGTTGTGATTCTTTTATCACATTTCAGATCCTTTTACGCGTAGGAAGGTTGGGAGAGCTTCCTTCCTTCTTGCCTCCTCCTTCTCTTCTTCTCATTCCTTCAACTTCTTTCTCTAACGTCATTCTAGAATAAAAACTTCGCCAAAATCCAATCTACTCAAGGGGAGGAGAGTCCCCTATTTATAGATTTTTGCAAACACGGTTAAGTTCACAAGCACGAAGAAGAAGATCGTTGCCATGATCTTTGGAGGAGAGGCTGTGATTTTGAGGGTTATAGAATTCTGAGGACGCGGGCAAGGGGAATATGATCGTGGCCATGATCTTTAGGGGAGAGGCTGCAATCTTGGCTTCAAAGACTTAGGTCTTGTATGGCTTTGGATATGGCATCCTGACTTCACGGTCCCAATCCGTGAGTCACGACCGTGATGTTTCTCGGTGGCTTGGATGAAGAGAGTCATGAGTCGATTATCAAGACTTTCTATTCCTTCCTTGATGGTTGCATCTCCAAGTTTGCGGATGTGATTTTTGACCTCAAGGTTGTGATCTTGGTGCTCTAGTTCACGCCCTCACTTCATGGCCGTGATTTTGGTTCTTTCGGCTATTATCTCCATTTTGACCCTTTTTCTACACTAGTGCACACTTTTGGTACCTAAATCATTCATATAATCTAAGACACTCTAAAATACCGATATTTTCTTAGAGGAATGAATCAAGGGCATATTTTACGACATATTGGCAATGAAGAACATAAAACGACTCGAAATAAGCCTAAATATGAGTTCAAAATAACACTAATTTGAAAGTTATCACTTCTTCACACGGTGACGATGTCCGACTATGGAGTATGAGGAAGGATGAGCGGCAAGAATGAAGAACATGCGTAGTGAAGCGACGAACACACAAAGGAAGGAATAACCAAACGAAGGATAATGCAAATAGACGGCAAGGAAGGAGGGAATTTACCTTTAGGGTTCGTCGCATATCTGAAGGGACTTGGGTTTAGGTAAAATGGAAGTAGCTTTTAACGGGCGATGAGGAATCGAGGCCGAGTGGAGAGATGAGGCGGCTGGGCGACGAGAGGGGTGACTGGGGTGTGAGATTTTGATGAGAGTGGAAACACGAGGATGGCGGGGTGTCGAGAGGGACGACACAATGGAGGAGGAAGGAATGAATTAAAGATTATCGTTCTTCTTTTGTCAATGGAGATGGATGAATTTCAGTGGCAGAGGAAAACAGGTGGATTTGAATGAGAGCTACGATTTTGAAAGGACATTGGAGAGGGATGTCTCAATGTAGTGAAGGACTGACGAGTGGAGGAGTGGTAGCTGTTGGGTGGTGGCACTAGTCTCGGTTAGTAACGATGCATCGATTATTTATTGTTTAGAAATCGAAAATCGGTAGGTAAGCCGACATGCCAGATCCCCCCCACCCCCGACAAAGGTATTATCGACTGCGGTTAGTTGATTAACCAATTTTTCGTTTCGGTTTATTAACCGCTAGTCGATTAACGACCTACTTATAAGTGTCAAAGAATAACCAGACTCGATTAATCTTTTCGAACAATCTGAACGACCCATAACCTGACTGCAACCTGAGTTGACTACAAGTCAATGAACTTAATTCGTAATCTGATTGATCTGCAACCCGATTGACCTGTAACCCGATTGAATCCGTAACATGACTAACTGCAACCTGAACCCGACTAAACCGCAAATTAATTTTGGTGTTTTCAAATTTTAGAAAGAAAAAAAAAAAGAGAGAATTATGTTGCTTTCAATTTTTTAGAAGAGAAAGAAGAAGAAAATTTGATGTGTTGGATTTCTGAGAAGAGATATAAGAAAAAATTAAATGCTTTTTAATTTATGAAGGAGAAAAAAGGGAGTTTTTGTGTTTTCAATTTTTTGGAAAGAAAAGAAGGAAAATTTTGGTGCTTGCATATTTTTGGTGTTCTACAATTTTTTGTGCTTTCAAATATGAAACTTGAAATTTTACGTGGAAGGAATATTGAATTGTGTTCAAAAATTTCTCTCTAACTTTTAGTTTTCCCTTTGTTTTTTTTTTGTCATTAATTTGTTTCATTTATTAGTATCAAAAGGTGCAAATCGTAGAGAGAAGAGAACATTGCCGACGTTTCATTGCATTTTTTGGGCGATGAAGAAAGATAGGGAAGGCTGAACGAGGAATTGACTCGGGGAGAAGGGTGAAGAGGAGCCGCCGATCGTGTTCGTGGAAGAGCGCGAGGCCAAGGAGTGGGTGGCCCAGGTGGAGCCGGGCGTTCTGATTACCTTCGTCTCTCTCCCCATGGGAGGCAACGATCTCAAGCGGATGCGCTTCAGGAGGCCTGGGACGCGTTTGCCGATTTGGATCGGAACGCCGATCGGTGGCTGGACTTGGAAAGTCCCGGCGGAAGGATGGTGGTAGTCGAAGGGATGGTGACGGGAATTGGAAACTGAACGGTCGTGGACGGAAGGTGAGGAGACGGGAGAGACAGAGGAAGAGACGCACGGATGGCGGTTACGCTTCTTGGTCGACGGTTCAGATTGTTAGGCCCCCGAAATTTAGGTTGTTTCCTTTTAATAAAAAAAAAGAGGTTTAGATGTGTAACGGGTGGTGCCGGTTATCTGGTTCCCCGATGACCTGGTTCACTATTTCAAGGGTGAAATGCTGCCTTGTGTCTATGTTGACTAGGTGGCTCTTTGGCCTGGATTGTCCTAGTAGGGGCCTATGTTTGCTCATTTTGCAGGTGAAGATTCAATTGCACAATAGTCGAGCATAGTCACGAAGGTGGTATTGGCTTTGTGGGTTTCCAATCGTCAGGTAATATTCTCTTTGCTTTCGGAAAGTGTTATGAATTTGTTATACTCGAAGCCATACAGTGGTGCCTGACACATTCCTTTGTCTCTGTCATATTTCATGGGGATTCACAACAATTGATACGGCGGGATGATGGGAGGCTACTTGGCGCAAGATCGGGGTGGAGCTCTACTGGAGGATGCTCGGAGCTTAGTTTCTCACTTCAGCTTGATTTATTTCTGCTTTGTTTTTCGTCGACTAAATAGGGCTGCCCATCATGTGGCACAAAAGACCCTCTCATCGAGAGTTCGACTATTGGTCGACTCCCGCGCTTTTCTTTCTTTCTTCTTGTGACTCTCTCTTCATCACTGACTTTGCAAAAAAAAAAAAAGATGCTTTTTTTTTTGTTTAGAATCTTCTTCTAATAACGGAAAATCCAAAACCCGATTAAATGTAACTTGTCAGCCCACAAGTTAATTAACCTATAACTCGACTACTTCCAACCCGATAAACCGGTAACCCACTTGACCCGAAAACCCCACTAGTCAATAACCCGATTGAACCCGAATCGGAATGACCTGTAACCAGATTGGACCGCAAACCAAATGACACGTAACCAGATTGAAACCACAACCTAAATGACCTATAACACGATAAATCCGAACCTAAATGACTCAAAACCCGATAAAATCCACAACCTGACTAGTACGTAACTCGATTAACATTAATCTGAATGACTCGTAACCCGAATGAACTTGTAATCCCGCTACCTTGTAACCTGATGCGCCCGACCCGAATCCACCGATTGACACCTATACGCAAACTACAGAAGACTATATATAGTTATAGTTATCTATACTAATCCGTAACTTTGTAATTGGGAAGAGGTAGGAGGTCTGTGGAAGTCTATTGATTGCATGGTATAGGACTAGATTGATAGGTGTGCCTAAGTGTTTGGTGCATGTTATCTATTTTCAGATTCTTCTCCTTGTTCATCTATGTGGAGTTTCTCGATGCTCTATATGACTGAATTCTGTTTTAAATAAGGAGAGCTTCCTTAGTTTAATAGTTTACTAGAAGCTGTTCGCTGTTTGCTATTTGCACTCTGCTTTCTGGGTTTGCGTTATAAAGAAGAGAGCTTGAAGTTCGTTTCTTTGGTACGATTCGTTCGAAACATCTGCTGGAAGATAAGAGTTAAGTGGGCTTCTTAACAGTCTATGCTTTATTCCCAGTGGGCCTTCCCGTTTATTTTAGTTTTGTAAATAAAAAGTGGGCTTTATTTCAATTAAAGCCCAATCGAAGAGAAAGGTGAAAGGCAAGAGTAGAGAGTAGAGACGAGACGACAGATCGACGAGAGGATCAGAGGAATAATGTATTCATGTTCCTCATCCATTTTTGTCTTCTTCCCTTTCTTCATTCCATCCAAAAAGTTAAAGCCAAAATCCCTAATTTTTGCTTCAATCAGAACTTAGAAAATATATCACTCAATTGGAAGAGCTTACAATTTAGAAGCCACCAAGTGGGCTATTTGTAGCGTCAACGTCATGGTAGACAGAGATGTAAGTAGAGCTTTTGAAGATGGGCCTATCAGAAATAGCACTAGCAATAGAATAGAATAGCTGATTGGGCGCAGGCAGTACGTAGTAGGGACCCTTGTGACTGCTTGCTATTAGCTGGATTTGAAAGCTCTGAAAGAAAGCCTTCCCTCTCCCTCAATTCCAACTCTTTCCCTCCACACAAAAAAAAAAAAAACCCCCCAAAAGAAACTGTTACTTTCTCAGCAACTATTTGCTTTACTTCCCCACCCTTCGGGCGGACGTATATATAAATACCAGCCCCTTCGCAGACCCAAAATCAAGCAGCAGTCAGTCAAATACTAATATACATTCTCCTCTTCCATTTCCATGTCGGCAGGCTTCGCAATCTGCGTAGTTGCCCTGGCGCTTGCTTCGGCAGCCCAATTAGCGTCGTCTCGGCCCACAACTTTCGCTCAGGACTTCCAAGTAGCATGGGCCGAAACCCACGTCCGCCAGATCGACGGCGGCCGCGCCGTCCAGCTCCTTCTCGACCAGAACTCGGGTTGCGGGTTTGCTTCCAAGCGCAAGTACCTGTTCGGACAGGTCAGCATGCGGATCAAGCTCGTGCCCGGAGACTCCGCCGGAACCGTCGCTGCCTTTTATGTATAATTCACGTTTATTCACACCTTACTATAATTACATAGTTAATTACATATGATTAGTGATGATTACAATTACCTCACCTGCTTTTTCGGGTTGTTGTGCTTTTAATTAAAGCTGAACTCGGACACGGCCGGCGTGAGGGACGAGTTGGACTTCGAGTTCCTGGGTAACCGGTCCGGCCAGCCGTACACGGTCCAAACCAACATCTTCGCTCACGGCAAGGGGGATCGAGAGCAACGGGTCAACCTCTGGTTCGACCCCTCCGCCGACTTCCACCTCTACCGAATCCGCTGGAGCCATTCCCAGATTGTGTAAGGAATTCTTGTTTAATTTTAATCCCCCTCCCCTCCCATGCTGAGCTGGCAGAAATGACTGACGTTAACGTACGTGGCAACTTTTTTTTTGTGTAGGTACTACGTGGACGACGTGCCAGTGAGGGTGTTCAAGAACAACGAGGGGAAAGGAGTGGGGTACCCGAACTCGCAGCCGATGGGCGTGTACTCCACGCTCTGGGAGGCCGACGACTGGGCGACGAGAGGCGGGCTGGAGAAGATAGATTGGACTAAAGCTCCGTTTGTGGCCCATTACAAGGACTTCGACATTGAAGGCTGCCCGGTCCCGGGCCCGGCCCGTTGTGCCTCCAACCCTACCAACTGGTGGGAAGGCGCCAATTACAAGGGCCTCACCGCTCTCGAGGCCAGAAACTACAGGTGGGTTCGTGTCAACCACATGACCTACGACTACTGCACCGACAAATCCCGATTCCCCGTCCCGCCGCCGGAGTGCACCGCCGGCATCTGAAAACGATGAATTGCAGACACTGAGACACACACACGTCCTCGTAATTAAATGTTTATTAATTAATGTTGGTGTTTTCATGTTAATTAGCACGCCATGAGATAAATTAAACGTGGGGGGTGGGGTGGCGGAATAAAATTAGTGCTGCACTTCTGTTGTCCGTACCGTACGTACGTCCTTCTCAGGCGAGTCGTCGGCCGGGAGCAGGAAAAAGTTATCCCGTAGCGTCTACACAGTCGTGTATATTTGTAATTGTTTGTTTACTGTTTATAATTTTATGGAGAAGGTTAAATTATTAATACTATATATATATATATACACCAGCTTCTTAGACACATTTTGTAACAAAAGCTGTGAACTTGAAATTCGGACAGGGGTCTCACCTGAAAGGAAATTCAGCCGCTTGAAGTTTGCAGAAATTCACCATATAACGTATGATTTTAAATCAGCTGTTAATATCGTGGATCGTGGAAATTCGAACATATAAAAATTTGGTCAGATCAAACTCTAATACTGTATCATAAATCGTTTTGCAGACGTCTCATTTAATTTGTCCATAGTAGATGGGAATATAGTGGAATGAGATTGGATGCTAACCCCTAACGGTTAGCAGCATGCTAACTATCTTTCCAGCAGTTAAATTAAAATAGTAATCCAAAAGTCCTGATTAATTAAAGATTATTTTGGTCAATTACTTTATTAAAATTTCTAAACCCTAATTATAAAACCGTCTCCCCGCTGCCTCTCTCTCTCCAACCCACACAGTAATATAGTACATGCAATGCAATGCAATGCAATGCAATGCAGGCGTGGCATGCATATCCGCATTCGACGTGGTCCGGCAATCTGATTAAGAAATGTCATATATGATGTGATTAAAAATTAATTATTACACTAATTGTTCTTTGGTTCTGATATCTCACTTTCTTTAGTTCTTATATATCTAGCGTAACTGCAAAGGAAGAAATAAGGTGTATGGTAATACCAAGGTTGTTAACTCGCGGGTCGACCCACTTTGACCCTGACCCGATGAGAAAAACGGGTCGCACGCACCGGCCGGGTCGACCGCTACAAGGTATCGCGGGTTGGAGGTCAAATTGTGTCATTTTTTTTCTTTGGTTTGCGGAATGCGCCTATTTTCCGAATTTTCTTTTCGCCTAACTCAATCTTTGGAATCCTTAGTCGAACATTTGAATATTGATGTTATATAAGTGTGTGTGAATTTTCGCTATATGTTGGATCTAAGTACGACATGTTACTTTGGTGTAATGTTATATGTTATTACTCATATGTTAAGATGAGATTTGATATAATTTATCAGGATAAGTACAATATAATGACTCTTTTCATATTTCCAGGTTGAAGCGGGCTAAAACGGGTGACCCGTTAACCCTTGACCCACTAGCTCGATCGGGTCCGGGTCAACCCGCGGATTGACAACCTTGGGTAATACCAAATACAGAGTTTGGCATATTAATTAAATTGCTCTGATAATTGGACCAAGATGAAAACGAACAAGTCATTTGAAAAACTAACGGTGCAATTTTTTGAGGTCTACTTACTTGGGGATATAGCATGGTCCTGCTAATTAAGACATGGATGGACCCTGGCTTGGTGGCCCACAAAGCAAGACTTGTAAACTCTGGAGAGCTGAAGAATGGTCAATTTCGGAAGTAGCCTTTCTTCTTTATACGATTCTCCTGCTTTTGTTTTGTTCGTTGCGATCAAATCTTATTCTCGTGCAAGAAAACATCATGTTGCATATTATAACAAAAGTCCCTCCGATGAAGTGCCTAGCTTAGTCCAGGTGCCGGCTTTCAGTGTGACTTTCCAAACGGTGAAGTTCTTAATTAGTTATGACCACATTCGAAATTTCAAGTTCTATCTCTGGGATAGATATATTTCCAAACGGATGTATTTGAAATGTGGGTATTTAAAATATATGTAATTTAAATTTATTTTTTAGATATTTTTTTTTATATTTTATGGGGGTTTTTTTTTCTTCCCTCAAATTCGATGTTTTCAGGTCACACATTGCAATGGTAGGCAAAATTACATTTCAATAGTCAGATTTATTTTATTACAATTTAGTATCTAAATTTCATTTTGTTTATATAGATAGGTCCAAAATATCATATACTTGATACAGATTATTGGATGCATGCATATCATCCAATCCAATTATTTTGTAGCTGAATTAATCCTAATATTAAGAAAAGTGCCTAAAATTCATTTTTGGATCTCTCTCGGCAACTCGAATTAAGAGAGAGGACATGATGTTTTGAATCATCATTTACTTGCAATGTGGACAATTGATTAAACATTTAATATTATCAAATATACCAGTTATCTTTTGTTTGAAGGGTGCAAAAAAATCATATAAAATACATTTAATATTTTTCTTATAACTCGAGTCGTTGAGACTTGAAATAACTATTTTTTTATAAGGCAACGACAGGCGTGATATCCTCAACTCTCTAGTTCCCTTGGACTGCACAATCCTATTGTATCAACCTGAGCTCCTCCTCCTACCACATCATCATTCTAGCAAAGTTCAGAAATTGCATTGTTAATTTTACGGCCATCACTGTACCCGTAAACCCGATTTTGTTTCAACACCAAATAGTGTTAAAAAATAATTAAATAAAAGCATTCGACAAAACAAAACAAAAACAATTAAATACGATTTTCTGCCCTTTTCCTTTTTTTCTTTTTTTTTGTTGGGAGAGTTGGATACAAATGTCGTGGCTTTGCTCAATCGGATCAAGAAATTCTCCGTGTCTCAGGATATGGGAGCTCAAGCACCTTCGTACATTTTCACTCGACTTAGCTTTGCTATAGCTAAAGGAGTGGAGGCTCAGATTGTATTTCGGTTGCCCACTAATTTTTTTTAGAACCTTTGTTTGTTCTGTTTCCCACTATTATAATAATAATATTATTATTATTATTCTGCACCAAAAAAAAAAATAAATAAATAAAGAGAGAGACCTGGCGCTCATCTGCTAGGGGACCATTTTGGTCCCAAACGCTTCTACACCAATTAACATCTCCTGATTCGTTGCGATAGCATTGGCATGTCACCTAACTATGCTGCCGACGAGTTTATGAAACACAAATAAGTGGACTTGGCTCATCCCCTTTATTTCTCTGCTACTCGCCGGAACTCAATAATGCAAATAAGATAAGGGGAGGGCATGAGGAGAGAGGGAACCAGTGAAAATGAAAGCATCAAATGATTGTTAGGTCGTAGGTCTAAGGCTAATGAGAACTGTAGAAGCAGTGGCACTGCATATATACAGAGCAACAACAAGCTGGCGTTGGTTACTGAGATGCTTTCACTCACCATCACAACCTTGCTGGCTGCTTCCTTGCTTTTCTTCAACCCATTAATGCCAACCTTCCCTTCCCATCATTGATTGTTCTCCCGAGAACAGGAGATTACAGAAGAAACCAAAATTACTTGCTGGCATCAGTCATTTTGATTGCAACTGGGTCGGAGCAGTAGGGGCAGTTGCCAAACAGGACATCGAATGACCTGCACATGAGGATAGCCATGATATAAGCACAACGCTAAGATAAAACGACATGCGAAATTGCGTCGGGGACTGAAAAACTACCCATCAAAGACACTTAAGCATGACCTGGAAAGCACAGTAATCGCCAATTCATCCACCATTTCACTCTCATTTTCCCATTAGGGAGAGCCAAGATGTAACGAGACTCGAATGCAAACACAGATAGTTAATAGTGGGAGAGGAAAGTTATCTCTAATGCTTTTTCTACCAAAATGTGAAGCAAGCATGGTATCTTTCATATTTGCTTGAATTGGGTAATGCTATAGGGTTGTTGGAAAGAAATGGAAACCACTCATTTCCAACAAAAATGTGGCCTAGATGTGGCAAAAAGAAGGCAAAGAGAATTTAGGGATGGACCCCTGGAATGACCCACATTGATAGCTAGGTTGAAGGATACGTGTGGATAAGTGTTGGGTAAAGCAGAAAAAAATGTAAAAGATATTGAGTTTTGAGAAAAAAATTTCAATTTAAGTAACTGATCAAGATGTTAATCTACATAATTTACTTACTGCCTTGTCGTTGTTATGGAGCGCAACCAGTCACCCAGACAAACACGATGAAAAGCCCTATCGCAGTTTGCATTCTCACACGTGTAGTCAGTTTGAGAACCGCTCATAGATCCAAGCTCATCATCTACAAGAACATTATGTAGTTAGTGGCAGGATAGAGATGCTTTGCAACTGCAATAGGGGAACATAAGGAGACTTTTCAATAACATTGAAGTACCAATAGGAAGACATTGAGCGTAGCAAATTCCACATTCAGATTGTTGATCATTCTTCCCAATATCTAGCCGGCTTGGCAGTGGGCTTTCCAAAATGGAAGCAAGATTTTCTAGATACCTCTTCTCCTTGTCCCTGCAAACTCCAACAGTTACTAGTCTGAAGGACATTGTCAGACAATGAGTGTTTGGGGGTTTATTTGTTATATTTGACGTTTTATATTATGTCGGCTATTTTGGGAATTATTGGGGTTAAATCGGTTAGGTTAAGTCTTTGGGTAGTTATAGGGAATTAGTCGGTTTATATATATTCTGTGTTAGGCATAAGCTAGGGTTAAGCAATAACAACAGAATTATTCCCTTAGCTCTCTCTCTCTTTCTATCTCAGCCGAACCCCCTCTTCCCCCCTCCAGCTCGTTGGCCACCATCCCGGTGCCCGGAAATCCTCTTTCTCAACCCTAATTCCCAAATTCTACCTCATCCCAAATCCCTAACTCTCATACCAATCACGATCCCCAATCGCACACCTAGATCCGTGCTCTTTCAGTGGTATCAGAGCCTGGCGGTGTGCCGATTCTCTGAAGAAATACTGCAGTCTGAAGATGTCGAACCCGGTGGACAAGCAACAACCGCAGCGCCAGCTCAAGGAGGTGGTAACAGTCAAGGATGTGACAACGAACAAGTACGATGCGCTGGCAGCATCGTTGGAGAGCTTGACAGAGGTAACTGTGAGGGCAGCTGAGGCCTCTAGGGGTTCGATCGGAGCAATCGAAGCCATGGGTGACCAGATCAAGGCTTCTATTGAAGAGATGGGCAAGAGTGTGGCTGCAAACATCTGCGGAGCCTTGGTGGCGACAATGCAGGAGGTGCTAACCCAAGTTCTGAAGAACCGGGAGCCGCTGGTAACTCCGGCTACAGGGGCGGCGCAGGCAGCAGCGACCGCGGCGGGAGTGGAGCCGACGGCGGCGGCCGCAGCAGGCTCGGGGGCGCCGAGCGGCGACGCGGGCGTAGGGCAGACCGGGGCGCGCGCGCGCCGGGAGGAGAAGGAGGCGGAGGCGAAGCCGCCGGGCAGCGGGGCCGAGGCCGGGACGGCGCAGGTGCTGGCCGCGTCGGATGGGGCACCGGGAAACTCGGGCGCCAGGTCTGCAACCGCGCCGGTATTCAGTGGGCCTGGTCTGCTACCAACTCCAACGGACCTGGCCCAAGACAAGGCCCAGGGAAAGCAGAAAATGGCCGGGTACGAAGGAGAGCCATTGTCGTTTGGGCCTGACAGAGAAGAACCCTGGCCCGAGGAGGAGGAGTTGAGTTTTGGCGAACCGAAAGGCTGGATGGGCCCGAGCTCAGAGGAGGCGAGATGGGGCTAGGTCGCGGGCTCGAAACCGGGCTGGGTACAGGGTGGCCAACCGGTCGGATCAAAACCGGTCGGACCGAATCCGGTCGGACCGAACCGAACCGGTCCGGGTCATCCGCAGACGGGCAGCAGCTGGTATGGACCGAGCAGGGGTCTCGGTAAGGGCCCGGAGTACGGCTACCCCCCGTGGAGTACTCCGCGAACAGGAGGAGGGCGCGGTCGAGGTTGGCCGGAGATGGGGCAAGGGCCGGGGACCCAGCATGAGCACCAGGGAAACCATCAGGAGGTGACGGGCGACTGGCTCTATCCTCCCCAGCAGCCAGCCGCGGGCAGTCACTATCGGCAAGGATCAAGGAAGCCGCCACCCCCACCGAATACAGGCAGGTATGAGTACTATAACCCTCTGTATGAGAATGAAGAGGAATTGGTATTTAGAGCTAAACCGCCAGTGATAGAGTTTCCCAAATTTGACGGCTCGGGAGATGTGGGTTTGTGGTTGTATGCAGCTGAGAGGTGGTTCAGAAACCACCCGATCCGAGAAGAGAGGAAGGCGCACCTGGCATCCTTCTATCTCGAGGGGGATGCGCTCCAGTGGTGGGAATGGACCGAGCGGGCCTATGCAGCAGCAGGTGAGTTCATCTCGTGGCCCAGGTTCCAGGATGAGCTACGCTACCAGTTTGGCAAGGCGGAGGGGTGGGCCCCGGAGCAGCTGGCCAAACTCAGGCAGACAGGGTCGGTGGCAGGGTATCGTGCAGAGTTCCTTAAATTGGGAAACCAGTGCAAGGAAATGACGGAGGAGACCCTGGTGGGATTGTGTATGGCGGGACTCCGGCCAAAGCTGGCCACCGCCGTGAAGGTTTTCGAACCTGACTCTCATCGAGTTGTTTTCAGGATTGCATGGCGCAAGGAAGAGGAGCTGGCTAGTTGGAGGACGTCGGCTGGGCGTATCCAGAAGGCCAGTGGAGGAGTGGGAGCAGGAGCTGGGACCTCACCGCCGACGGGAAATGCAAGCCCGGCGGCCACCGGCGCAACAGCAGCGAGCAGATTCCAGTCGAGGCTGCCGCCAAAGGGGTTTGTCCGGCTAACGCAGGCGGAAATGGACCAGAAGCGCAGAGACGGACGTTGCTTCAACTGCGACGAAAGGTATACAGTGGGGCATCAATGCGCCAAGGGTCATCTCATGCTGCTGGTGGGGAATTGGGAAGACGAAGGAGAGGAAATGGAGGCGCGAGAAGCGGAAGAGAAGAAGGAAGAGAAGAAAGATGGTCCACCTTGAGGGCAAGGTGGATTCCAAGGGGGATGGAATGTCAGACAATGAGTGTTTGGGGGTTTATTTGTTATATTTGACGTTTTATATTATGTCGGCTATTTTGGGAACTATTGGGGTTAAATCGGTTAGGTTAAGTCTTTGGGTAGTTATAGGGAATTAGTCGGTTTATATATATTCTGTGTTAGGCATAAGCTAGGGTTAAGCAATAACAACAGAATTATTCCCTAAGCTCTCTCTCTTTCTATCTCAGCCGAACCCCCTCTTCCCCCCCCCCCCCCCTCCAGCTCGTCGGCCACCATCCCGGTGCCCGGAAATCCTCTTTCTCAACCTTAATTCCCAAATTCTACCTCATCCCAAATCCCTAATTCTCATACCAATCACGATCCCCAATCGCACACCTAGATCCGTGCTCTTTCAGACATCTGCCAAGCAACTTAGTCCTTTGAACTACATTTGATGAAATGGAGGGAACTATGTGATTGTGGTGTGCATGTTGTTACTCTGCTGGTAACTTCAAGCAAAAATTACACCTTGAACGACCCAACCCTCACAATCTATTAAGACCACCAAAAGAATTAATGAAAGTGACCAAAGAACGAAAGAATAACAATCAGCCACTCTTTGCCATGTGAATTAATGAAAGTGACCAAAGAATGAAAGAATAACAATCAGCCAGTCTATCAAGAGTAAATTGCAAAAAAAAAAAAAAAAAACCCCCGAAAACAAGACTACCAAAAGAATTAATGAAAGTGACCAAAGAGCGAAAGAATAACAATCAGCCATCCTGGGAACTTTTTGGCTTAACCCTAACCAACTTGAGGATTAAAAGAAGCTGTGCATGGAGTCTTGAATCTTTTAATAAGTGAAGCTGAGTACTTATGATTACTAGAAGGAGAATAAAGATCTACCATTTTTTGCTATTTCTTCGCCACAACTTTTGCAAATTGTCCACTGGAGAACATGAACCCAAAAATCGGCACCTGCTAGTATTCAAAATTTCATATATAATGACCAAATGTAGCATGTAGTAGTCATGTCGAATCTATATGATTGCTTACTCAGGTAAAGATTTTGGATCTCTGGAATTTATGAACAGCATAATGAAACAACCATTTCCTGCAGACAAAAGATAGCAAGTGAAAACATTGAGAAAGATCAAGATACAAAAAGAGGAGCAAGGCGAATCAATCAGATAAGATTAGATACTGTCTGACCTGCATCAATTTGGCGAAAATGTACATTCCGAGATGACTGTTGTGAATCCACCACATAAAGGGAATTATCAATATCCTCCAAGGTGGACCAGAATTCATCAAGCCTAGAGAAATGCTGATCATTTGTGAGAATAAAAGAAAGAAGTCCGAGTTAATTCTAAATGACTTTGGATGCCTAAATTGTTATCACTAAATTCAAGAAAAGATATTAAAGAAAGTGAAGCATACATCAGTAAACTGTTGCATCAATTCTTTCAATCTTGAGTTCATTGACCATTTGACATTGAATGCATAAGGCACATCCTAGAACAGAGCCAAGACCCAATGAGCCATGAAACTAGAGATTTCAACTGGTAAAAGACTATCAGACACACCGTTGAAACTGAAGGTGCAGATTTTGGATAGGTTTCATCTAGCTGAATTCCAACTGTGTGGGTTCTTTGCTTCCCATCTCTGCCCAAACGCACAACAATTAGCTCATCAACATGGAAAACCATAGGCAATAAACAACAAGGATAAATATTTATAAGCAGCCGCTTAAGAAAAAGTATCTCCTAGCTGTATAGTCAGAACTTCTAAAGCAGAGAATCTTCCTATCAGGAGAACTCTAATCACACTCAATGTCAATCTATCAAGGCCTTCCGTATATCTTATTCAAAGCATAACCGCTGAGGAGCTTGAGCCTATCAAGAAAAGGAGAAAAATGGCCTTCCAGTTCATAGGTATAGGCAGACATTTGTATGAGCCATGTTCTTGACTTTCATGCGATCTCCATGCCGATTGTGACTGACCTATGGTGCTATATTCTGCACTAAAACTCAGCCCCCCTAAGAAAATAAAGTCTAAAAATGTGGGTATTGGCTGGCTAGACTATAAGAATGAGCAAGCTTAGTATATTCGTCAAAAGACCACTTAGTTGTTCGTCCCAGGGTTCTTATATCTTGCGATTCCTTTGTATTGGCAATCTAGATATCAACTACCTTCACACACAATATAATTCGAACGTGACAAACATGATCAACAAAATATGCGAAGCGAAATTCACGACATGAGGTCAAAGTTGCGGTTTCTGGTTCCCTGACTACGTACGGGAATAATAAGCACAAAACACAGGCTCCAAAGGACACTAATTCACGTCTTACACAATGCGAAAGCTAAGGAACTTTAGATCCCCAGAAAAGTTTGCGAGGTGCTCCCATCCGATCTCTTCTATCTGCAATCATGAAATCAAGAAAACAGGGCTTTGGACATAAGAAACAGATTCCAGAAGATAAACCCTTGGTGAAGTTCACTTACTTCCGGTGCACAGTGGTAACAATTTGGTATTCAAATAATACAAGAAAGAAAGCAGACGAACCTCCGAGTAGATTTTGCTGCAAAATGAGGATGATTTCGCCAATTCTCTGAACCTTGTCTGGTCCGCACGCTCCTGAAAGCAAAAACGAATGGGTCCGCTGAGTAAATTCGTCAAGCAGGTAGTGAACTTGAACTCGTTGTGTAAGCACGAAGACGAATCCATTGCACAGATATTGAGAAGTTCAGTTAACGAAGGGAAGAGGATGGGAGTACTGATGCCATTGAGAATCCGTAGCGAAGTTCAACGGAATCGTTGGACAAATTGTGCCGCCGGCGGGCACCGAATTGTTGCCACTAAACGGATCGCCGATCCCACTTACACAGTGTAGAAATGGAGCCCGCTGCCCCGCCTCTGTTGTTTTTGCAACCCCGCTAATGTTTCAGTGGTTTCTTCTCCGAAGGAAAGCTTTGAGGCTTAATATTGGGGTTGCTTCACCAGCCCATTGCTTTTTGGGCCGTAGTATCAGTCCATGGTCTCTTACTTGTTGCCTAGATAATGACTATCTATTAGTCAAATCATTTTTAATTTTTTTATATTATTCAAACCTATTAAAATGTTAATTAGTCAAAATTTTTTGTAATGCATCGAAATATTAGTCGTTTTTATGTTATCGCTGAAGAATTTGTAACTCTTTTCTTAGAAAATACTAAAATTTGGAATATTAACCTTCGTGTGTCTCTTCCAAGTTAGTATCATGTTGTCAAGTCAATATTACTAACAAAATTGCTAACTGGTAGTGAACTTTTGGCTAATTCTTAGTATTTCGATAGGTTTGGCTTATAAAAGAGAATTCGAAAAAGGTTTGGCTAATAAATAGTCATTACCCTTTTTTGTCTAAATATATGCAAGTACCATTTTAGCACCGGAAAGAAAAATGTGATGGTACGAATGAAAGTTTCGTCATGATCGCACTTGTGTTGTTCTAGTCGCCGCCAATTCTTCGTTGTCCGACTCTCAGGAACCACGATCTTCATTGAGATTAAGGGGTTCCAGGAAGTCGTGGGCATTCCCCACGCCCAAGCCCAATATACGCCTTTCTCACTCGTTTTTTTTTCCCGATTATAAGGGGGCAGTGTCGGTGACTATGGCTCTCCCAATAATGAACCCCAACTCAAGAATTGCTCTACCTCCTTTGCGAATCACTAAAGTCCAATCTGCCAATGTGGTTGTTCGTGCAATTCCTATGGCCAAATGAGACAAAGGGAAGGCAATATGATTGTCACATAAATGGATTCTGATGATGAGGAGGAGGAGGAGGAGGAGTGGAGTTGTGGCCTTCTTCCTTAAAGTCACGTCCTGCCTTCCATATTTGCTTACAAATGATGACATGGAAGTTAATAGGAACAAGTGTTTTTTCGAGGAGATGGAGGATGTGACGGGTGGTCCACCAGTTGGGCACTCATTTCTAATTTTTGGAGGATGGTTCAAGGCATGATGCATAACCACTATCAAAGCGGCAACATGTGGATATGGAAGATTATGAAATTTTTGAAAACTATGGAGTCACTATGAGAACATTGGCATTGAGTGTCAGTTTTAACCAACGTGAATCTTGTCGACACTAACAGAATTCGTGTTGGTTTTGGGAAACCGCAGGAGTAATCTACACAAAATTTATTGGATTCGGTTATTTTGCTTGGGCTCAACTAACACCAAATTTTTTTTCTCAAGAATTCAGTTTCAGAATTATTATATTATCTATGTCTGTTAACCGACTGAAAATGACCGATGCAAATTTATGTGGTATTAAAAAAAAATAACTAGGCTGTTTCAGCCTGGTTTTCCCTCCGCCGCCAATGAAGGAATTGAAAAAGAAGTCGAATCCAAGAAAGAAGCCATCTGGTGGTGGAACCAAGAGAAGGGAGACCTTTCTCCTTCCTATTCTCCCTGTTTGTTTCATGTTAAGAAGAGGGAAACCAAGAAAAAAGGTTGACCTGATTACCCTCCGTCGTCCCAGAATCCAACACTAGTCTCATTTCACTCTCCCATTTTGCTCATAATCCAACACTACCCCACAACCACCAAGAACAAAACCCATCAATCCAATCCTAGAATAAAATGAGCAAACACATAAAAATAACAAAAAATCACAGGGTGAAGGTAGAACACCCAAATCAAGCGTTGTGAAGTCAGAACCCAGATCGAGCGGCAGATGTCCAAGTGTCGGAGGGAGGAAACGGGCAGTGCGGCGGAGTCATAATGGACTAGGCGGAGGCCTTGGAAAAGTCGAATTGGGCGGTACTGGCAGGTCTGGGATTTTTCAATTGTAGAGGGAATTGAGGCTGAAGGCCGGCGAAGGGAGATTATGGCGACGACAGTGGTGATCTGCAGATCTGGAAGTGATGAGTTGCTCTCTGTTCTCAGTAGCAAAGGGAGAGACAAGGGATTTGATACTGCTTTGTGTTGGCGGAGTGGAAAGTGGATCTGATGATGCTTGGTACGGGCTATCACTCTTTAGTCCTTCACCAACTATTGCAACAAAATGGAACAGGACAATAGGAAAAGTTGGCCAGAAATCATCGTCCTTGTCGTGGGTGGATGAATCGATTCTAACTACACTCTCAATCGAAGCCCAAGTGGAACCTTCACTCGGGGTAGTATAGAGAAAGTATATTTTTCAAATTTATTCCTATTAGACCTCAACTACAAATAAACTGGAACCACCCATGATGAGAAAAACCACTAGCCCCAAGAGAAGAACCATAACGTCAAATCGAGGGTCAACCACAACACGCACGACATAGCAACCAATGGAGGTGTCTACAGCCTATGCTCCAAGCCACCGAAGCACAACTACCATATGCTCTGATTGCACTCCAAAGGCATCGTGGCATTCCAGGACCGATTTCTACCTTTTCTTTCTTTCCCTTTTATTAAATTAGATTTTAAATAGTACTTAGACATAAAATACTTAGTATGTGTAATTTGATATGTTTGTGGTAGTTAAGTTTATATATTTTTTGGATAGATAACCCCTTATTCCTCTCTTGTGTGTGTGCTTGAATGTCAAATCTCTAGATCAATGAAGACCTACACTTGTGCACCTACTCCAACACACATAAACCTACAGTAATGGTTTGTGAACCCGACTTTAATCTTCCTCATTGAGGATAATGTGTCTTTCAAGTGTGTGGGGATGTGTATACATACTTTGAATGTTTATGATGAATGTGCCATAATCGTTAGTAACCTCCCTATGATTGTGAATGTAAGACATTGATAATTATGTGTGGGAATGTATGATATCGATTGAATGAGTTTGTGGTGTTTGAATGGCTTAGAGAATTTGTTTGGAACCTTGTTGATTAGCCCAATTTTTTTTCAAATTTGATGGTTTCAAACAGCTTGTCCTATGCATCTACCTTCTCAATGGACTTTGAATTGTTAGATGATTGGTATGGTGTGCCTTATAGTTATAGGGAGTAGTGTAGCATTACGAGCCTTATCGGTGTATGAGGGGTTTTACTTCTATTTCCTCTTGGTTGTGTTGATAGAGTTTTTCATCTGAGTTAAGACATGTATGCAAGACTCTCTCCCCAATCTTGGAATAAAAAATGTTTGTAAAAATGTTCTCAATTTGAAAATTCTTTTGAAAAATGAGTGTTCTCGGGTGAGAGTAAACCAGACATAATGTTTGAGTTAAGTCGTCCAAGGGCCTCTCTCTCGGTCAGGAGTGTCATTTGAGGATGTGTATAGAGACCTCATTTTCCTTACACTGCTCCTCCTCAAGGACTTGTATGTGAAGAGATAGTGTGCATCAGCTTAAGTCAAGAGACTTCGGCTCTCATTTGTACCCACATGTGTGGCAACCCGTTTGTCATTGAGACGGGAGTGCATGCTAGGATTTGGTGCTTGATAGAGCGAACTAATGTTCAACGCTTCACCTGTTACTATTCCATCGTCTCAACCATCACTTTTCCCACATGAGGTTTATAGAAAAGGCAATGTCTTTTTCTCTTAGTTGCGAGGGAGAAAGCCTAATTTTGAAAAAATTGAAAAATTTGGTGCCGCCATTTCTGACATGTGAAAAAGGAGGCTCAAAAGTTGAATCCTAATTTGAAAATAATAATAATAATAATAAAGAGCACCACCATTGAGTCCATTGTTTTTCAATTGTTTTCTTAAGTCCCCCGGTGCACACCTTAAATTTCTAAACCTCTTTAGTCAACAAAGTCCTCGTCCAAGAGTGTGTGTTGTCACAAAGATATGGAAGTAACGCTTACCCGACCCCAACTATTCGTAAAAGTGCACTCGAAGAACTATAGAGCATACCATTTTGGTTGTTTACCAAGTTGTAATGATTTGAGTAGGTTTGCTTGGGGACAAGCAAACACCTAAGTGTGGGGGAGCTAATAACACCCAAAATGGTGTTACTTAGCCTCTATAATATAGGTATTTTCAGGTCGTTTCATGGTCTCAATCATTGATGTTTCATCATATTCATCTTGAATCTGTTCGTCGGAGCAATCATTGTCATTATAGGATGTATTAGATGATACTTGCATTTTAGACACAAAAATGGGTCACAAGTGTAGAAAAAGGGGCAAAACAAGTAGATAACGACAGAGGGGCAGAGATCATGGTCGAGAAGAGAACCTGCGACTCAGGAAAAAGATCGCGACCTCTCAAGCCAAAGATCGCGCCCACGATCTTTGAGGAGGCAACCATGAACTCGGAGAAGCTGTAGTCAAAGGAAGACAAAAACTCTCGATAATTGACTCGCAGACCTCCACTATAAAGACTATGAGAAGAGATCATGGTTGTGACTTCAAGATCGCGACCACGAAGTCCACCCGCGAACTCCCACGCCAACAGAGAAAAAATGGTGTGGTCTAAATATCGCAGACTCTAACCATAGATCACGATCGCAATCTCTTACCCAATACCCACAAACTTGACCGAATTTACAGAACTCTATAAATGTGGGTCTCCCCCCCCCCCCCCCCCGCCCCCGAGTAGAGTGGCTTTTGACACATTTCTTATTCTAGAGTTAGGTTAGAGAGAGAATTAGAAGGTTGGAGAAGAAGAGGAGAAGAAGAAGTGGAGGAGTATTTCCAGCACTTGAAGACCCTTCATCTCATTTCTTCCCCTCTATTTCGGTCCTTCATTCCCCCTTATTGGGTAGTTCCTCAAGGTACTTTGGGGCTTATCCCCCAAACGCTAACCTAGGGTTTGACTTGTAATAGGATGTTTAGACTTGATTTGTATATGATTATGAACTTATCTATGTCTATTTGATGATTGTTCTTCCTTTGCATCAAGTAGTGTGGATTGTCAGTATCCCATTTTCCCTAGTTGCAACTTAGGTGGTAGGGGATTCATCATCCTCTTTCTTGTGATTTATGGAAGAGTTGTGTTTGCCTAGACTTGTTTATGCTCCATCTATGATTATTATGCTTTGTACTTGTTTCTCCGTGTGTTTTCTATGATTTGCCTAGTTGGGGTTTGATTTAGGTTATGTATGGATCGAGCGGTCTTGGCGTGATAGGCTAGGATGGTTGATCTAGGAGTCTAATATGGTGGACGAGGTGATCATACCCCTACCTATTAGACGTCCACCTAGGAAAAGCCTGGGCGTCGAGTTCGTGACCATCGACTCGATGACCTATTGTGCGGATGGGTAGAATCCATTTAGAGGAGATAAGTTATATCCCTGCATTCTGAAGCTAGTTGAGGTGACATTGGGCTAGTGGATCGGTGTAGGAGGGGGATTGGTTGCATGACCATTGATCTTATCTCTATATTAGCAATCTATACACCTCGATCACCATGGATCATCCTTCTGTCTTTTGCATGTCATCTCCAGTGTTATAGCGAGGGAGGCACCCCAAGTACCTCTTCTCTCCTTTCTACCTCTAGCTCATTAATCTCAAACTATACACCTGCTAAGTAACATGTAAACTAGTTAACAACCAAGCCTAAGTAGCCTAGGATATCGTGACCGTGGAATATGACAAAGCCACTTGACTACATCTCTAGCATTGTTATACTTGGCATTGTTAGGATACACATGAGTGTGCTTTATAATTGAAATTAAAGATCATCATCCTCACATGTTAAGGAAGGTTTGTGCAAAGTTTTGGATCATTTGGATGTCGTTTGAAGGATGAAAAGAAGGAGAACTTGTGCTAAATCCATATAGAATCATGGCCCAAAGTCACAGCCGTCAGAATGGAAGTCGCAAACACAAGAATGGAACTCATGATGATGAGTTGAGGGTGTGAGTTGAATTCATTGGTTGAAACCAAAGGTCACGGTCGTGTAACTGAGGTCATGATCGTTGACCTGTCTATAAGTACAATAGGTTGCTTTCGAACAAAAGGGGCATCCAAGAGAAAAACATAAGGCTATGAAGATGTATAAAGATATGCATAAATTGGAGGGTTTTGGGAGCTAAATCTTCATCATCCAACCCAAAAATATTCCAAGATTAAAGAGAAGCGCTCAAATAAAAATGGAGAAGATTATTCTAGCTCAAGGTTGGTCTTTTCTTCCTCTTTGTACACTCTTTCACTCTCAACTTCTAGCTACTATAGGTACTAAGGAGATGAACTCTAGCTTATAGCTTTGTTATGGGTTTTTATGTAAAACATGATTATGAACCTATTATCAATATCTTTTGTTGGTTTGTCATGATCTCCATATGCTTTTGTTGAGTATGTGTTCTTAACCTAAAAAAGACCAACTAATTAGGTCAAGATTAGAATATCCATCAATAGAGTGAGGTTATAATTGCATGACCATTGAGTTATAGCCTCGTTTGCATGTGTTTAAGGAGTCTAAACCTAATGCTCTAAGTGTCTAGTTAGTTACCTGATCATTAAGCGAACCTAAGTACCTAGATGAGTGGTTAAGTGCATTACCATTGACTTAATTGAAATTGTAGGTAATTCCTTACAATTTTGAAAGATAGGGAAGCCTTGATTGACTTGCATAAACCCAACTTAACCTATTGCTGGAGGGTTTCAATCCTAAGAACTACCTACCTCTACTGATCCTCCTTGTAATTGGTTTTGTTTCTTTGTAGGGTTAGTTTGGTTCGTATTTAAACCCAACTATCTTGTTTGACCACATAGTAGCTAGATTGAGACCAAGAGTAGAAGTAGACTTAAAGGCCCCGTGGAATACGACATTGATCACCATTTTACTACTTCGTCTATCTAGGGTAAACTTATCCTAGGTTAGGGAACTTAGTATTTGTTAATAAATAAGGAGTCGTTTGTTTGTTTGATTTGGGTAATGGATTTGGTATCAAAATTGCAACCTTTATGGATTTAACTCAAGTCTATGATTTTTTATGGGTGCCGAATTCGTGGGGGTCCACGAATTCGGTCTTTATTTTGGATTCAAATTCACTTGTAAATCTCACATATTAAGGTGATATTTGTAAATATTTAATCTTTAATGGCTAGTGGTATGTGTAACAAAACCATTATAAATATATCATCAAATCCATAATAGACTAAATCCATCATAAATTCCAAAATAAAATTTTTTTGCCCAAAACCCTTATTTTTCAAATCCAACAAGCAAATAACCCCTTAAACTTTTATAACATGAGTTGAGTTTCTACTTATCAAATTCCCTCAATACCTATTTATATTTGTCTTATTTTTAGATTTTCTTTAGTCATATTCTTACCCAATGAAATTTAGAATCAGTGCAAGATTTCATTTTTTTAATTATTAGTCTTCATGGTGATATCACCGACTAAAACCGGTGTAGGATAAAACATGTACTAGGCGACTACTAGTGTAATTAGGGCCGCAAATGAGCCGAGTCGAGCCGAGTTTTACCCCAACTCGAGCTCGACTCGTTTATTAACAAGCCGAGTCGAGTCGAGTTCGAGCTAGCTTGTTTACTAAAATCTTGACTTTTATTTGGTACTTCATTTTGTATATCATGATACATATGATTTATTTTGTTAGCTAATCTCATATTATACTTTGTTGGTATCATATAACATTTAGTTAATAAATTTTAACTACTCCAAATCAGGAAAAAATCCAAAAGTACCACTGTTTAAAAAAAAATTCTAAAAATACCACCCAATCCCAAAAGTACCACTGTGGATATACGGGACCTTGAGAATAACTTTAACTTTACTTTTCACAAATTCATGTACATTTTGAAATTATGATTATATTAAAAGTTGTAGATCTTGAAAAGTTATGCGGAATCAAAAAAATTCATGACATTCGGATTTTGGAGCACAAAGTTATGGCCGCCCAAAGTTTGACGAAATAAAAAAAAGGCTCGTTCGGGGTGGCAAATGACGTTTTTCGAGACGAAGGCGGGACCCGGCAGGTTGCGGCTTGCAAGATCTCAAAAATTTATTCGGATTCAAAAAATGGAGGCCGCAAACTTTTTGAGATCTTGCAAGCCGCATACCGCCGGGTCTTGCATTTCGTCAAACTTTGGGTGGTCATAACTTTGTGCTCCAAAATCCGAATGTTATGAATTTTTTTTTATTCCGTATAACTTTTCAAGATCTACAACTTTTAATATAATCATAATTTCAAAATGTACATGGATTTGTGAAAAGTAAAGGTAATGTTATTCTCAAGGTCCAGTATATCCACAAATAGTTCCTGTTTTGAAAATTTCATCCTACTAAAAGTTGTAGATCTTGAAAAGTTATGCGAAATGAAAAAAAAATCGCATCGATCGGATACCCGAGTGCAAATTTACGTTTGTTTGAAGTTTCGGCCGAAGTTAGGAGTTTGATCGGAAAAAAAAATTTGGACCAAACCGCTGGGCGGGGTGGCGGTTTTGGGTCAAACTGCCACCCCACCCAGCGGTTTGGTCCAAATTTTTTTTTTAATAACCGCCCCCTAGGCCCACGGTTTGCATAGAAAACCGCGCCCCCGACAAACGATTTTCGTGTAAACCGTAGGGTGGGTTGGCGGTTTTTGAAAAAGGGTGGTATTTTTGGAATTTTTTTTTAAACAGTGGTACTTTTGGATTTTTTCCTCCAAATCATGTTATTTCATAGTAACGAAGCAATCTATGATACATAATGTTTTTTAAAGTAGAAAATAAGATATATTATCTCACATACAAACATACTCAACATTTTAAACTTTATAAATGGTGAGATATATAATTTAACAACCATATGAATAAAAACAGAAGATATAGATTGATTCGTCCATAAGTTGGTAATCGAGTTGGCTCTCTAGCCACATGTTGAGACATATCATGAGCTCTAAACGAGCCAGCTCACGAGTTTAGCTCAACAAGCCACCGAGCCGAGCTAGCTCACGAGCTTCACGAGCTGAAGAAAGCTTAGCTCATGCTCGGCTCGTTTATTAACGAGCCAAGTTTCGAACGAGCTTTAATCGAGTCAAAATCCGAACCGCTCGCAAGCAGCTCGACTCATTTGCAGCCCTACTAGTGTTATCAATTGCTTATGATTATGAATATCAGTTATTACTTGTGCCTGCATTCAATCATTATTTTTCCCCCCTTCTTCTTTTTATCGTTGGAGAACCAACCATACCAATACCATACATGACGGGAAAACTACCAACAGAAAAGTCTGCAACTGCAAGCACCAGCTGCTGCTGCTGCTTAATATCACGCGTACCTATCGCGTGATGCAAAAGCACGAGAAGAGAGGATAAGCTCCAGCGTGAGTGAGAAGCCAGGACAGGGTACGTACGTGTGGGAGAATAAAAAAAAATTGAGAAATAATATTATTCACATACGTACGTGGCTGATGGCAGAACCCACCCTCCCAATAAAATCAATAATAAATACAAATTGATGACGAGACGAGACGAGACTAGAAGCGGATGATGGCCATCCATCCAATTATTACCCAAATTAGCGACCTAAAAAGGTCAACAAATACAATATCAATTATGACTCCAATAATAAATAAATAAATAAAAAGCAAAGAGATGAGTCAGGTCATAGTAGTACTACTGCCCTGCCGCCCCCTCCCTTTTTGGAATCATATTTGGCAACTTATGATTAGCACCGTCAACAATGGGGAAACTCAAATACAATTCTGATAAATAAATAAAAAATTGTAATTAATTATGTGAGCGAGCGAGTTCATCAAGTTACCTAGTCATATCTTCTTGTCTAGTTTGTCAAGAAAGTTAACTTTTTTAACCCAACACTCACATAAATGAATTCCACATCAAAACAGCATATCCACTTTGACCAATCTCCTTGTAATTAATAACAAAACCAATCTTATGGGGGGCGTAATTTCCGGGAATTTTCCTTAACTACACTAGTTGTTAAACTAAATTGATGAAGTACAATAGTTCTGCACAGAATTTCACACAATCCATGTATTTTTGGGTTCTATCGCTTCTGCCAAATGCGATATGGGGTATTGTCAATGGGCTCACATCGCGTTTGGAGAGGGTGCGAGCGAGATCTGTGTGTGCGCGCATTGCTGAGGAGCAAAGCGATTGGTCTGCATTCTCGACGCGTATCGCTGAGGTGGCCGGACATCGATGCATGCCCAGATCACGTTTTGACTAAAAGAGATTCAAGTGATCCAAACGTTGAACTCCAAAACCGTGATTAGAGGATAAGGTTCTCTTCGCATCCATTTACCAAAAAATCTGATGGTGTACTTGCCAAAATTTCGATTTAATTGGAGAAACAAGTAGGGAAAAAAATTAAATGGTACGAATAAACTTGGCCGAAAACGAAAGGGATAGTGAATGATACAAACTCAACCAATAAAACTATGATCATCATCCATTTATGTAGATCCCTTTTCTTCTCAAAATATATATGCACAAACTTGCAAGTACAGAAAGCAGGAGTAACTAAGGTGTAAAAATAAAGAAAGCAATAACTTCTACCATTATTCTGTCTAACCCTTATCTTCTTCTTCTAGTAAGAAATAACTAAAAGTTAATTACAGTAATTAGTCGTTTTTTTCCACCACTTGTACCAGCTGCCCCTCACCAAAAACAGAGGGATTGTGGGGGTAATTAAAGTGTACTTCTCCTTTAATTTCTTTTCTTCCTTCTCTTATATATAATCATCTATAATTCTATCCTATTTCATAACTTCTTACCTATATCTAGACAACATTTTTTTTTTGGTTTTCGTATTTTTGCTGATGTTGTCGTCCGTTTTCTTCCCCCGACCAATCAGCACGCTGCAGATGGGTTCGTGAACGGATTAAAGAATTGGGGCTTTTGAGCCATCGAGAAGGCGCTACTACTACTATTCGAACCACCGCGATGGTGATCAGCGCCACCGGCCACGGGAGCTTCGGCGGCGGCAACAGCGGGGCCGCCGCCGATCCTTTCACAGGATGGGCACAGCGAGAGAGTGGCCGCCGGCACGCGCATGTAAAACTGGGGCGGCGCCGCCGGCTGCGGTGGTGACGATTTGAGAGCCTTGAGTTCCTGAAGCTCCTTGTGCAGCCTCCTGTTCTCGTCGGTCAGCGTCTCGCAGCACTTCTTCAACAACTCACAATCCACCTCCGTCTGCTTCAGTTTCGTCCTGCCCAAAAAAAGAAAATTCGAAATTCCCCCCGTCTAATTAGCAACAGATCCACCCCAAATTGAAGAGAAAAAATATAGGTTTTATTTGTTTTTCTATTATTTTGGAAAGAGGAAAAAAAAAATATAAACGTATACCTGGCTCTCCTGTTCTGGAACCAAACTTCAACCTGCCTCGCCCGTAGATTTAACTGCCTGGCCAGAGCTTGCTTTTGCTTCTGCGAAAACTCCAAACCCCAAAAAACAAAAACAAAAACAAAAAAAAAAACCTCCTAAATAAATAAGAAAATCCATTCACCATTAAAAAAAAAAATTCCACCAAAATTAAAAGGGAGTCGGTGATGATTACAGGGTTAAGAGTGGAGTGATGCTTGAAGCTCTCCTCCAGCAGGGCGGACTGGTCTTTAGTGAGGCGGAGCTTTTTCCGGGCGGCGGTGGAGCCGCCGTCGTCGTCCTCGTCGCTGGCCCTAGACGAGACCACCCTCTCCGCGGTCTCCATCTCATCGGTGCTGCTGAGGACGTCCCGTTCCCTCTTCATCACCATCCTGCCGCCGCCGCCGCTGGCCGCCGAGAACGACGACACCGCGCTGTTGGGCGGCGACGCCTCCTGGCGACTGTTCTTCGCCGCCGCGGGGGCGGAGACCTGGTCAATGTTATCACCGTTGCCGGAGAGGAGGGTGAGGCTGAGGGAAGGCTCGAAAGTACTGTGGACGACGCCGGAGTTGTTGGGCTTGGCGGCGGGGGTGATGATGCGGTTGTTGTGGTGAGTGGTGGACAGGGTTAAGCCCAGGAGGAGGGCGTGATCCTCCACTGAAGAAGAGGAAGCCATTATTTCTGAGATCACGGCAAAAGAGAGAGAGAGAGACAGAGAAAGAAGGAACTATGGAGAAAGGGAAGGAAAGAAGGAGGGAGAGGGGAGGGGTGGGGAAGGGCCAGTTTTTATAAGGGGACAACGTTGGAAGGGAGGGAGAGGGAGTAAGAGAGCAAGAGCGAGAAATTAATGATGAGGAGGAGGGAAAAAGAATGAACGACCTTTTCTGTGCTGAAAAATATGTTAGAGAGAGAGAGAGAAATAGAGAGTGGGAGGGAAGATAGTTGAGTCGGGTGGGTGGGTGACTCTCATGATTAATCCAAAATAAAATGAATTTAATTTAGTTTCCCGCTCGCTGTTCTTTTTATTCCAACAAAATATTAATTCCTTCTTTTAATATCCACCAAGGTTGTCAAACCGGTTTGTGCCAGTGTGCCGGTTTAGCAAGTGAAATGGTTCGACCGGTGGTACATACCGATTTGTGCCGGTTCATGCCGGTTAATATTACAAATAATTTACAAATACTCATATTTAAGCACGACATTTAACGTCAATACCTAAATATTTGTACTTGAATCCAACAAATAACATCAACATTTAACTTTTTAACACATAAAATAAATAATAAATTACTTTTTATCAAATAAATTCACTAATATAAGATCATTTTACTTAGAGATTCGTATATCGATCATGCCGGTCATACCGGTGGTGTCATACCGGTTTTATGACCGGTACAGGTTGAACCAGGTTCAACCAGTGGTACGCCGGCCGGCGTGACAACCATGATATCCACACATTGATAGAATTCGGTTTAGTCGTTTAGATGCTCAATCATATGTAGGGGTGGCTGATCGGTTTACGGTTAGCGGCCGACCCGAAACCGACGGGAAGGCAATGACGATCGATATTCAGTAGGGGAGAGGGGTTTTTTGCGCTTAGCCGAGTAATCGGAGGCAATTAACCGCAGTTACACGGCTAACAATCATTCGACCTCACCTTGAGTATATTAGGAGGCGGCGCCGCCGGGGGAGGACGAGTGAGCGATGTCGGGAGGAGGCACCTACTGAGGGAAACCGATGATGGGTTGCGGCAGAGGTGGCGGGTAGTTAGCGCCGCCTTGAAAGGTACCGTACTCGAGAGGCTGAGAAGGTGGAGGATGATGTTGGTTACCCACAACGAATCCTCTGTTCTTGGTGCCTTATTCTTCAATCTCCACTCATATGAAAATCAGAGCTGGGACTTGGGGGGAGGGCGGATTAGGGACGATTTTGTAGGAATTGCAAAATTTTATGAGATAATCTATTTATTGTGAAACGACCCCATTTTGACCCACTCACCAATTTCCACCACCACCCAAAACGAATACGGAAATCTAACCAAATATGTTAATCATCGTCCTCGTCCTTCGACCTCCGTTCCGCAGTCACCCTCCAGACTCCAAAAATCCTTCCCTCGTCGCCTCCCCTCCGCGACCCGACGATCTCGCTCCTCCACGACCCCGGTCCTCCTTCCTCTTCCCCAGATCTTAGAGAGCCAAAGACAGTACAACGATCGTCGTTCCGCTCGTCGGCTTCCTCTTCCGCCTCAGGTTGCCGATTTCCTCTTCCGCCTCGGATCACAATTTCATTTTCACGGCTAACCGAGCCCAAAAGTAAAAACCGCTCGATCGGTGGGCCGGTTAGCCGAGCGTGGCCTTCGGTTGGGTGTCGGTGGGCGGTGGCTATTTGGACGACTTTGGCTAACCGATAACTAAGATTTTGGTTTTCGGTTAGAACGAAATCGACCAAGATCCACCCCTCATAAGATGTGTATGGTATGGATGTGAGCATGTGGGTATAGGATAAGGTTCCTTATACATCATTCCATAACTAGATCCGGCCTCTTAGATTTTAGTAGATTTAAAAAGTCTAGATTTAAGGAATGATAATTAATGACTTGTTATTTTTTCTAGTCGGTTATCATTTTTTTCATGGTGATCTACGAAATGAGATCCATTTTCAATATATTTCGAGAAAATAAATCTATACCACTCATTGCCACCATCAATTTTAACTCGAATTTTAAATTTTTTTGTACAGATGAAACGAATTTATCGTGATTTATTTGATCTACAAATTTATGAAAAGAATACCTGACCAAACCGTAGCGGAGCCGCGTTGGGCCAAGGTGGGTTGACTGCACCACCTTGGCTTTCCAATACACAAATAGAAATTATCAATAATAGCCCTTAAGTAGTATCTAACCACAAAAAAGGTAAACTTATATCACTTTTATAAGGGTTATTGAACTGTCAACCTCTCTTTCACTATAACATATTAACATTGTTCAGTTTCAAGTAATTTTATTTTTATGTTTTAACATCTAATATTTTTATTCATTAGTATCTTTTACATCAAACCAAGAAACACGATTGCATCTGTCTTTTATTATCTATCAACTGTCAACTACTAGCTGCTCGGTTTGTCCGCTTGCCGCTCGTCATTCCCTAACGTATTCACCATATGTTCAACGACAAAAAATCTCATATTGTTTCTAAAAAACTCCGTCTATAACGTGATGACGTTCCCCAACATCTGAGTTAGGTTGTCGACTGCCTTTTGATGCTAACCTTTCACAAAATTTTATACCTATTTTCAAACCACCTTAACAAAATTCCTAGCTACGCCACGGAGCATTAGGGTGGCAACTAAAATTTTAGTAGTCACCGTGGCTACATAACTATCTGCCGTCCATTTTTCTTGTTTTCCTCTTTTCTTAATCTCACGGTTAATTTTGTTTCAGGGTAATTTTGGAAACAAAAAATAGTCCACACCTGATTATTCTATATATTCTACCCAAACTCTAATCTACCATCTCCTCCAGCCAAACCCTAGACGACGACAGCCGACTGCCAACTACCCGCCCCCTCTCTTTCTCCGCCCACCTCATCCACTCCCCTCCCCTCTTTCCCCCCACCCTCCGCCCATCTCCTCAACTCCCTTGCCATCTCCTCCACCCCTACACCCACATCTCATACAAAAACTTAATCTTCTCTCTCTCTCTCTCTCTCTCTCTCTCTCTCTCTCTCTCTCTCTCTCCTTCTCTTCTGTTATTCTTCTGCATCTCATCGGGCCAAAATCAACGGCTAGGAAAGAGATAGTTTTTGTTTGTATTGGTATGTATTTTGTTTGTATTGGTAGTGATTTTTTAGTAGTAGTGTTTTTTTCCTATTGGTAATTTTTTCGCAATGATATTGTTGTTTGGTAGTGATGTAATTGTATTGGTATTGGTTTGCATGTATTGGTATTGGTTAATAAGTATCAGTGTTTTTATTGATTGGTATTGATTTTGTTGCATTGGTATTGTTTATGTCGTATTGGTATTGATTATCATGTAATAGTATTAATTTGCATGTATTAGTATTGATTAATCTGCAATAGTATTGTTTTTTTTTTTTGAAATGGTATAGATTTATATTGGTAGTTTTCGTGTAATGATATAGATTTATTTATATAATGGTATTGATGTTTTTCAAAGTGGTAGTGATTGTCTAATGGATTGGTAGTGATTTCGTTTTTTTTTCTTTTGCAGAACGATTGAGAAAATAAGGAAAGGAAATCTGGCTGGAAATTATGGAAGTGAGAGAAAGAGAAAGAATCGTAATTAATAGATTTTTGTAACTACCTAAAATGTAATTTATTTAGAAAATTAATTAATACAATTTATTTTTCCATACCCAATTTATCCTTAGTAACTATGGTGATTACTACTTTGTAGTAATCACCGTAACCTGACTCCTACGCCACTGACCAAAACGTACCACTTCATTCCACCATGGTATAAGGGTAGTAATTGGTGGTATACAATGATGAGTGTGGTAAATGACAATTTGTATATTCCTATTATTATGCATTCAACCATTCTACACTTTGATATGTTCATACCACCATGATACACTTCAATACCACATGATATGATTTTATGTACTACGGATCAGAATTGCGCCCGGGCATGCGTATAGGTGGTTGATTTTGTTCATTTTGAATTAACACTAGTTCAGAAGAAAAAAAAAATACTAAAAACTCTTTTCGTAAGGTCAAACCATAAATCTGGTTTGGTCCAATTGTATTTCTTCTTTGATCTTGTCTGATCCATCCAGGTTACGGAGCCATGACAAGCTGTACCATCTAATCGATCCAAATTTCCATTAAATTTATATTAATACAAAAAATCTAAAATTAATTACATAAAATTCATATTGATTCCAAAAATTTCAAATTATATAAATAATTTTTAAATTACCTCAAGAAACATCATATTTAATCATAATGATCATCATGTTACAAAAGGATGAAGAGATCATTGTAGCATTGACGGGGAGGGTTCTGTCGATCATCAGGTTCTGCGAGCTTGGGAAATGCGGGCAGAAGATGGGGTGTGGGTAGGGCTGCAAACGAGCCGAGTCGAGTCGAGTTTTTGCTCAGTTTGAACTTAACTCGTTTATAAATTTTTCAGCTCGAGCACGGCTCGAACTCGAATTTTGATCATCCAGCTCTAGCTCGGCTCGATAGAGCTCGATAAATGCTCATTAACACAGCTTGTCATGTTGAGTACAAGCTCGGCTCAAGATGAGCTCGATTTGAAACCATACTTTGCTGAAAAATGTGTACAAATAAGAATATTAGAAACTAAAAATGATAAAAAGAACACTAGAAACTAAAAATAACATCTAACTTCCATACACATCCTTATTAACATGATAATTTTCATGTTCAAAAGAGTAATTAATCCTTCCACAAGCTCTAAACCAGCCAGCTCGCAAGCTTAGCTCAACAAGCCACCGACTCAAGCTCGCTCACGAGCTTATCAAGCTGAGCATGGTCTAGCTCAAATTTGGCTCGTTTACTAACGAGTCGGCTCGCGAGCCGTCTTGTTAAACAACGAGTCGAGTGTCGAACGAGTTTTTTCCGATTCGGATGCCGAGTTGCTCGCGAGCGGCTTGGCTCATTTGCAGCCCTGGGTGTGGGGTTCTAAGAGAGGCTGCAGCCTGAGAGTAGTGTTTTCGTTATTTTGAAAAACTTAGTAGGCGAATTCATATTCATATATTATATAAATCTCAAAATATCATATCAAATTATCATTCGTGATTTTCTCACTCATTCAATAATAAAGAATGTTTTTTTTTCTTCTTCATGTAGCTCATTGCAAATTTACTTTAACTCTTGTAGTGGAGGCGCGAATAAGGGCATGGTCTAGTGGTAATTAATTTTGAACTTAAAGGTCTAGTGATATATTTCAATGAATCAGATCTGTTTGTTATGATTTTTATATTAAATGAGTCTTATGATTTGTATTAGAGAATTAAGGATTAGGATTTACCCATTAGAGGTTAGGATATAGTATCATGTCCAAACTCCGCTTAGTTGGTCTACTAACAAAACTTGATGGGCGTATGATAAGGTAAGATTACGCCTAGCGTACGCTAGTCCACACCAAAGTCTTCACTGCAAGTGTTGAAAGGACATTTACAATGAGCTACGTGAAAAACACTCTTTAATATTGAATGAGTGACAAAACCATGAACAATAGTGTGTATATATATATATATATATATATACCCAACCTCTAATAGGTGGATCCAAATCCCTAATTCTCTAATCCAAACCATAATTTTTTTATCTATAAATAATAACCAACGGTTCAGATTTATTGAAATATATGAAAGTACATAAAACAAGTGTGAACCCTGGAGTATATCATACTCTAGGTAGCCTTTTATTTATATGACACATTCTATCCTACCAAAGGCAAATCTAGGGGGTGCTACATATTCTTAGTAAGAAACTCTATCTCGATGTTGAATTAATAGGATTTTAGGGCATGTAATGAGTGGAATATATGTCCTAATTCTTTAAACTTCACCCTCTAAACACTAAAGGTGGTGTATCCAATAAGTTGGATGTATAGCGACGAATAACAACCATCGAATACTATTTCTAATTAAATTGATCTTAACGTATACAATTTAGATAATTAAGACTATATTTTAGTTAATAAGATTTAGAGTATACTATCATATCCAAAAAAAATTGTTTACTTCAAGGTCTACATAGCATTTTTATACTGGTACCCATATTTGTCCAGGGGAACATATAACTCCCTCTGTATTGTGGAGATTATAAATCTAAGATATCATTATCATACAACTCGTTACTAGGATAAAAGGAAGCTAGCCAATCTTCACAAGATGAGGGTTTGGTGTAAGAAGAGGAATACAATTAAGAATTTGAGACCCATAGGATGAAGTTATGTTTTTTTCATATTAATTATGCAGAAACAAGAATGTATAATACAAAATGACAACAACTAAGTTCATTAGTTAATTGTGCTTTGGTGTTGGAAATATTGACGAGGTTTTGGATTCAAATTTCACCAACACCTAACTACTCATTTTCTTTGGAGTTAGGGTAAGTCTCGAGAGTCGAGACCCAACTTGTTGTGCTTTAGATCTGCACATGCATGCAGTGATATGATGAACAAAATTATTTTATAAATGTTAGAATACTGAGATCAATTTAGAGCAATTGGACTAGATGAATACATTTTAGGACTCATTTGGAGAAGTGGAGTCTAAATCGTTAGATTATAAGCAATTTGAAGATTCTAATGCCGGAAATTTATTTTATAGATAAGAGTGATATATGTTTATTTTTTGTAGTTAAGTTCTATTTAAGGGATTCGAACATGTGACCCCTGACACTAGGTTCAATACTAGTTGTATTACCACAAGACCAATCCTGATTCGATTCTAGTGGTGAGAATTGTTGAAAAACGTTATCAAATTTATCACTGTTTAATATGTAATTGTTAACATTCAATAAAATTTTTGTTTTCTTATTAAAAGACAGGTTAACCCTGAATCAAAAGAATTAGAGTGACTCAGAAAAAATCGAAAATTTGCTATACTGGGATAAATAACAAAGAAAAAGAAAAAATCTCACAAATTAAGATACAAATCTTGGGAAAGGCTAGCATGCTAACACTTTTTTTTGTTAGCATGATACTAACACTAGCTCTAGCCAATAGAAACATTTCGTTTGGATGATTTTTCCATTTAAATGAGTTTACCACAATTAATGAAGAGAAAATGAAGTAGGGGTATGTTGGTCATTAATAATAATTAGGGGAAGGGGAGGGTGGACCAGCCGTCCTTTTTGCATTAAATGTGAGGAAGGAAGGGAGACTACCGAAGTAGGCCAGATACTCCACAAAGTGAGCCAGAACCTCATCAAAGTAGGCCAGAACCTCCTTAAAAATAGGCCAAAACCTCTTAATAGTAGGTCAGAACCTCAAAGCAGGCCAGAAGTTTTTTAGTATGGGACCTGTTTGTAAATTTTAAAATTTTTAGGTACAAAAATGTAAGAAACAAAAATTTCAGGTACTAAAATGTAAATTTTGATCGATTTTTTGGGACTCAAACTCTCATTTGTAAATGAAACATAGAAAAACAACATAAATGGAAGGGGGAGGAGAAGGAATAGTTACTATATTAACCCTTTAGTAAGTGTTAGTACACTGCTAACACTTAAGTAAGGGTGTAAGTACCCTATCCACTCCCAAAATATTTCTAATTATGAGAGATATTGACTAAATTTTTTTTTTACAGATATCCTTTTCTGCTAGAGCCGTTAGCCTTAAGGGTGTTCAAAAGGTTACCATGATAATTACCAAATCGAATAAGACTAAATTCTATTAACCATGGAATACAATATCATAACCAAACCGTCTAAACTAATACAATAACCAAACTAAAGTTTTATCGGTTTGGTTAATTGGTTAACCAGAAACCGATATAACATCACATTCTCATTAAATGAAAAAAATTTCCGGTTAATGCATCAATTTGTGATATATTTAATGAATAAAATACAAAAATCAATACTTAATTATAATTAATACGTAACATAAACACATACAACTAATACAATTATCTTACATTCAATAGAAGTATTCATGTAATAAAAATACAGTTTAATGGTTAAGGTTAATAAATTATTGTGTTTGTGTGAATTGACTTACTTTCAAGTTTTTATCCAATATAATGTATGAGTTTATCTAAATTAGGAACAATATTGAACTTTATTTTTCAGAGTCTAAATAGTGGAACGTTTGGTTGTTGAGTTTTTATGCAAAATATTATGTTTATATAATATATATTAGATATATAGATAATTACTTAACTGGTTAATTTGGTTTCATTGGTTAGAAGTTTCTGAAACTAAACAAAACCACCTAAACCAAACAAGCTAAAGATTTTAACCAAACCAATCCAATAGTCCAAATTAACAAAATCAAATTATCCAAATACTACTGATTACAACGATTACCACGATAATCAAACCGTTTTAATACCTACTTAGCCTGCACGGAAGAAAAACAGTA